ATTATCATTTTCGTGACGAGAAAACGCAATTTGAGTGACCTTTTTTGGTCGATGTTTCCTTTTCTTGAGGGTATTTTACCTTGGTGGTCAAAGGGAACTTGTAAATTTTTGCGAAAATCAAGGGAGACTTCGTTTTTTGCATTTTCAGAAGGCCACTCGTGCCGAGCCCTGGTCATGTTCATAAACCATTTGCTTTTGTGGTGGAAAATATTAGGTCGTTCCGAAAGTAATGTCGCTTTTTCAATCGTACGCCACTGTCCCTCTAGCCTGGTTCTTTACCTCAAACATGAGGCAAATCTGTAGTTTTTTTATTCCCATATGTAAGCGAGATTCTTGAAATTAGAAGATAATTTTGATTTGAAACTGTTTCTGCTTCTTTGTTTGAACGAATGATAACAGCGCGCAAGAACATTGACGATGCGCCGATAGCATTCAAGTGCGATTTTGGACCGTAACTATACCACCAGCATTAATATAAGGTACAAACTAAACCGGTATGTAGGCATGATCTCTTCTTCAATATTCTACACCCATCATGACTTATCAGTGCGTCACCTCTGCTTCGCAGAGGCTCGCACTGGTCTTACTTTATATGCTTTACTTGTTCTCGCCTAATGATGTCTTTGGAACTCACCGTGCAGTGACGACTACCACGAATGAAATGTAAACAACTACTCATTTCAAAGGATTTTTCATGTGAGATCGGTATTTTGCGTGGATGGAACTTTTCGCAGAAGAACAAATGCAAATTCAATTAGGTTTTTAAACTTCTCTCGGCTTGGTAGTCGCCATAAGGACAACAATTACCGTGAGCTACATTTCTATGCAAAAATCCTTTCAAATGGTCAGGTAAAGCCACGGCGGATTGACCATTTGCGCAACCATTTCTTTTTCGCGTCGTTCTGGTATAGTAGTAGACCTTTGGTCACTTTTTCGCCTAAAGTCCATGTCTTGCACATCAACATGCCAAGCTCATCCACGACTTTGCCAAAAGCGTTGATACAGACCCAATTTTGCAGGCCAGAAGCCAAGTGGATCCGTCTGACTCGCAGATTCTGATGGATCCACCCAACGAATCTGCTCGTGATTTTGTACCGTGAAGTTCTACGCTGGTAGCATGCGCTGTGCAAAATTTGGGCTCAGGACATTGGCTGGAACTCGCTCTATGAATTTCGTTACAGACAGACGGACACACACACACACACACACAAAGTCACGTAAACACCCTTAGCCCGTTATTATAAGTTATGATAATAACGGGCTAAGGGTTGTTTACGTCTTTTTGTGTGTGTGTCTGTCCGTTACGAAATTCGTAGCGCGTGTTCCAGCCAACGTCCTGAGCCCAAATTTTGCGTAGTGCACGCTACCAGCATGAAAGCTCACTATACAAAAGCATGAGCGGATCCGTTGAGTGGATCCGTTGAAAATTGCGCGTCAAACGGATCCACTTGGCTTCTGTCCAGCAAATTTGGGTCCGTAGTACTACTTTTTGCAGAGTTATGGATATATTTGACAAGTTAATGTGCAAGCCATGGACTTTAGTCTAAAAAAGTGATGAAAAGTCTACTACTTTACGAAAACGGCGCCAAAAAGCATTGGATGTGTAAACGGTCAATTTTTCGAGATTTTACCTGATCATTTGAAAAGATTTTTGCACAGAGATGTAGCCCACCATGTTTATTGTCCTTATGGCGACTTTAAAACCATGAAAATTTCAAAAACTTATTCAAATTTGCATTTTTTTCTTTTGGTAAAGATTTCATTCACGCGAAAATACCGATTTCACTCGAAAAACCTCTAGGAATGAGTAGCTGTTTACGAATCATTCGTAATAGCCTACAGAGCGCGGTGAGTTTCAATCTAATTATTATGCGGGAATGAGTAAGGCATAGATAAAGTAGGGCCAGTGCGAGCCTCTGCGAAGCAGAGGTGACGCACTGGTTATAGATAAACCAGTGCGTCACCTCTGCTTCGTAGAGGTTCGCACTGGCTCTACTATCTATGTGCCTTACTCATTCTCGTAGAATCATGGCACTGGAACACACCGCGCTATGCCGACTATCACAAATAAAATGTAAACAACCACGCATTTAGAAAGTCTTTTCACGTGAGATCGGTGATTTCGCATGGATGAAACTTTTCGCAGGAAAACAAACGCAAATTTGAATAGGTTTTTGGATTTGTCATTACTTGGCAGTCGCCATGAAGGTAATGATAACCGTGAGCTACATCTCTGTGTGAAAATCTTCTCAAACGCTTAGCTAGAACTTTGGCAAATTGACCATTTACACAACCAATTCGTTTTTGCGCCGTTTTCGTCATGTAGTAAACTTTCGACGACTTTTCTGGCTAAACTCCATCGCTTGCACATTTGCTTACCAAACTCATCCACGACTCTGCAAAAAGTGGTGATACGGACCGAATTTTGCGGTACAGAAGCCAGGTGGACCCGTTCGGCGCGCAATTTCTGAGGGATCCCTCAACGAATCTACTCGTGCTTTTGCATATTGGGCTTCCATGAAGGTAGCATGCGCTATGCAAAATTTGGGCTTAGAACGTTTGCTGGAACACGCTCTACGAATTTCGTAACGGACAGACAGACAGACACACACACACACACGTACAAAAAGACGTAAACAACCCTTAGCCCGTTATTATGAGTCATGATTGTAGATTGGTGAGTCTTGTTTTAGACAAATAAGGAAGATTGTATCACGCGCAAATCGCAAAAATTCTCGCGGCGAGTCAGGACTGCGCTTACTCAATCGGATCCAAACTACGATTCGAAATTCCAGACTCCAACAAAAAGTAACAGGAATAATGAAAAGGGCATCGAACTTTGTCTACATCACGATTTTGGAGCGATAAACGATTACACCTAGTCTCTGTGCCACGTTTTCTGATCGCACTCTGTTGCTCCGCAGCCATCTTCTCGTTGGAAAAGTTTACAACTTTCCTCTCAATACAACTGTTGACTGGCTGTTTTCAGAATATTTCGGGATCCACTACCACATTTCGCGTCACAAACAAAAAAATTTCTCGAAAATCCTCGCAGTCATACCCTCGACACATAGAGCCACGTACTCTGGTAACCTTCACTTTGAGTGCTATGAGGGGACACAACCTTCACCTGGAAAAAACAGAAGTCATTCGGGGCTTCGCCTCGGATAACTTCTGTTATGTTATGTTGTGCGTTGATGTGTTAATGTGTTGTGTTGTGTTGATGTTATTATCCTGACTATATCGGAACGAATGTTAATGAAGCAAATGTAGGGAATAATATCTTTAGCTTATCTCAGCGAAACCGAGGATTTGCGTATTCATAGCCTTTTTTTGCGTTGAAAAGAAGGTTTCTGTGGAATTTTCGCCAGAATTTAGAACAAAATTTCTCAGTTAACCTCTCATTTGACCAAAATCGAGTTCAAGAAGTTTAGGAAAGCTATTGGAGTTAAATAAAAACGAGCAACTACGCTCAAATCTCGCGCAGAGAAACGCGCACGATAACGCTGGTCTATCTCGTCAATGAGTGATTTTCTGGCTTGGAAGCTTGGGACGTTGTCGGTTCTCCTCATGTGTCATGACGGTCAGAATGATATATAATGTTGCAAAGTTTCGTTGAGACCCCGGGGAAATTTACGACCAGAGCCAAATGCCCCGTCGGCTGTGGTCTGTCTCCGCTGCTCGTCTGCGTCTCCGCGCGCTGCGCTACCTCGCTACCCCAAACGCGGGGGGAGCATTTGGTTCTGGTACCCTCTCCTTCGCTGTTTCGAACCCAATTTTACATGCTATATATCATTTTGAACCTCTTGATCTCTATTTTCACGCTGACAACGTCCCAAAACCACATTTTTTGATTTGATCAAGAAATCCGGCAAAAACCTTGTTTTTGAAAATCTCTTGTTTTTCTCCTAATTTGACTCTTTTCACGCGGTTTTTTCGTGCACTCTATAGATCTTGCTTCTGTTCATAATGCAGACAACCACCCAGCCCTTACCTCTTCGATTATGGTGGAATTTTTTGCAAAAAATCGTAAAAGTGCGTTTTTCTTTACCTTGTCCTGTTTCAGTGCTTTCGCATCGATTTTCTCCCCGCTTGGGCGATTGTTGCTCAGAACAATAAGCGTAACAATCTAGACAACGTCCCAGGGAGCAGTAACGTCAATGCGGGGATAAAAATATAGAGGACGCATCTAAATTCAAAACCCCATGTTGCGAATTGCTGGTCCTGGAGCGAAAACTTACACTTTGAAAAGCCGCCAAATGGAAGATTGCAAACCCCATTACAGCGTTTTTATCCGGTTATGACAGTTTCTTTTGCTTTTTTATCTGTTTTACGTCATTTTCTCTTCTCTGTCTTCTTTAAACAACCTTCACTATTTATGATTTCAGATGTTCAAACAACCTTCACTTTTGGCGCCCTGTCTCTAGACTATCGAAGGTATGCTCACAATCCTTCAATTTGTAAAGGGGAGTTGCAAGATTTGATGTGAGATGCGCTGCGAAAAGGGATTTGCCACTGGGTAAAATTGTAGAATGGAAGCCAGTTTTTGTAAAGTGCTAGAGTATATTCAAATCTCGGAAATTATGTCAAATTTACCAGAAAAACCTGTGAATTACGCCAATTTTCTGAATTTTCTTCCGCTGCCTGTATATGTGTCTATGCACGATACACACACTATGCATTCCTGACCTGCAGATTTTGGATACGAGAACATTTGGCAAATGGCCAGATTGCGTAACGAATTAATCGCTTGAAGTATGCCTGAGGCCTTAGTGCGTATGTGGCTAAATCATACTTATAGCACGAGCCTGCTTGTTCTCCTTGCTAGTTTTACTTCAGTCATCTGTGTTTAAAATAGAGGTTTTTGAAGACCATTTTCGGCGCTCTCCAAGGCCGAGGTTCATTCTAGCGATTAGCATGATGATCGACGGATGGACCATTTGACTGAGCTTTTGTCGAGCCACTGCCTTCAACCGAGAATGTATGCATGAGTGACTCACATTTGCTCAACATCGTTTCGCCTAGCAGTTGCACAAAATGAAACTGAGTGGAGTCTCTTACAAACCATCTTTATCATTGCCTATTGTGCTGCAACATTAGCTGACTGAGATAAGCTTTCATAAGCTTAAAGGCAGTGGCTCGGCAAATCCTCGATCTTTGCTTTTTCCGCTTACCTGGGGTAGTTCGACGCGCCAATTCCGAAATTTCACTTTTTAGAGCGCGAAAGTGGCGAAAACCAGCGTTTTCCAAGACTCCTCTTTTTGAATTTGGACGAGTGGAACGCTTCCCGCCATGATTAGAGACGTAGAGTCGTTACAGGACCCTCATGTTTACAGCATTGCGGCATGCAGCCTCTGACGGCGTGAGATATTCGCAAGCTCGCCCGAGCGCGTGTAAGAATGGCTTGCGCGCACGGGTTTAGGGGCAATTCTTCAGGCAGGGTTTGCATGCTGTGCGCTCGGACCTGTTCCATTCTCATGTTTGGGATGCAAGCAACCTTCCATATAAAAATTTTGAGATTTTATTTTGCCCAGGCATTGCCATTAAGACCTCGCGCACAGTGAACGCAACTTCGTTGTGGCGATCCCACCGCCGGAAATCTCAATGGTTTTCTCAATGCAAACGCGACGACGAAATTTCTGAGCATCGTGGGCTGGGTTGATACTGATCTGAAAGTTCTAAAACGGTTCCAGCACAGTTTTCGCACTGTGCTGCAACTGTTCCGGAACTGTGCTGCATGCGCTGCAGCCGTCCGCCGGTTTTAGCGGCGCAATTTAGCAGTTTTTTTATTTTCTTATACGGTTTTGATCGTATACCTATATCTTGCCCATTTTTGTCTCATTTCGTAAATCGTTTTGCAGTCAATTTGAAATAAATGTTTCGTCTTGTCTTCATTCTTCTATTTTCTATGTATAAATGCTAGGGGTGAGAGGGAGGGGGTAGAGTACGGGGGTGAGGGTCGCGCTGAAGTCCTACCCGGGGGGGGGGTCGCATTCGGCTAATTTGGGTGGGGTTTAGAGGCATAATTGGGGTTTGGATTATTTAGGGTTAGTTACAGTATGCCGCGGCAGACTTGCGGAGCACAAAAATGGGGGGGGGGGAGGCTCGGGCGCACAAAATCGGGGGGGGGGGGCTTCGGCGCAGAAAATCGGGGAGCTCCGGCGCATAAAATCGGGGAGCTCCAGCGCAAAAAATCGGGGGGTCCGGCACGAGTGGCAGACCCCCCGCTGGGGAAACCCCGCGGCCCTGCCATTTCTGCGCATGAGGGGTCCGATTGACTGTCTGAGAGGGGTCGTATTCGGCTAATTTGGGTGGGATTTAGAGACAAAATTGGGGTTTGGAGCTTAAATAGGGCTAGTTACCGTATGCCGCGGCAGCCTTCTGCAGCACAAAATGGGAGGACTCCGGAGCACAAATGGGAGGTCTCCGGAGCACAAATGGAAGGGCTCCGGACACGAGTGACAATCCCCGGCTGGAGAAACTCCGCGGCTCGGCCATTTCTGCTCCGGAGGTATGCCGTCGACTGTCTGAGGCGCTTATCAACTGCATTCAGAACACGTCAGGCGTTGGTTTGGAGCATTTTTGAAACAAGTCCTCATGACTTCGCGAAAATTTACGAAGTCCTTTTTGACCTAAAAGTCGTGGGGCACCCTTTTTAATCAACATAACACTGTGGCTCCAATGATCTGATGATGCATTTTTCGCTAAATAGTTCGAAGGACATTGTGATTGGAGCGCGATATCTATCAATGCGTAGGTTTACACTAATTCTGGCTTTAAAAAAAAGAGGAGAGGCAGTGATTCGATTCGCTCCCTTCGCTTTATAATAGATTTTTAAGCTTTTCAATAGTCCAAATCAAAAAGGCAAAAATTATGTGGACTCTCAGATATTTATGTTCCTGATTAGCCCAGTTATTTTGGGTTGGTGTGGAATCAACAGATTCGGGAATGGGTATTGATACACATAAGTTTTTGAATTTTTGAATAGTGTAGTTTGGAATTACTGTATACACATAGCTCAAATCTAGTGTCATGTGATTGTTTGTTGCTGTAAACAAGGCATTTATTTGCCTTCTGCGTTTGAAATTCGCGCGCTTGTGAAAGAACACGTTTAACTCGTAAAACCTGACAAGTTTGTCGTTTTTTCTTCAGCGCTTCGCACAGAACCTTATGAAAACGATATCTCCGTTGCTTCTTACTCCAAAAACAAAGTCTAATTTTACCCCAGTTCGTCACCATCTGTGTCGGACCGTGACTGCACTGTCGGGCGCTCCAGCGCAGGACTCTGCACCTCTTCCTAACATGCTCTCTAATCATATTCAATTGATTGAGGCTTCGCCTTTCCCATGCTTTTGCTGGGAAGATCAGAGAGTATATTTGCGAAAGGTTACAGCGTCCAGGCGAAGCGGCCGCGTAGGAGCGGGTATGCTAATGCTCCCGACACTGCAGTTGGTAAACCTGTATCTCTTCTTCTCGACATCCAAGCCTTAAAACGCTGTGCTTGTTATTCCTGAACAGGCAACGTTTCTAAGACATGCTTGCACAGGAAATTGACAAATTCTCTCTCAAGAATTTAGAAAACGCTTCAGATGCATTACATTCAAATGGGGAACTCCCGCATAGATGATCCAGTTATAGTTTTTGACTTGGTTCCGTACATTATCGGTCCGCCAGCGGTCATCGCAGAAATTGCCAAGGTCGCCGGAGCCAGGGTAGGCTTAATATTCCTTTAAAAATATGGTAGGAAGTAGCAAAATCTGTAAATTTCAGTACAGTAAGGGAAATTACGTGGTCGACTGCAACGCCACCATTCCAGACCTTGTAGTAGTACCGATACCTCTTGGAAGTGCCCATCAACCTATGCCCATAAAATCAAACAATCTTATCGTTGAGGTACAATGTTTATCAGACTTTACTATCACTTTGGGACAGCTCAGGCACTAAGTTTCAAATTTGTTTTCCCTCAACCTTTGTTCAAAATAAATTTGAAATAAGGAAATTCTGATGGTGTGGCTGACTCCAAAACAACGCACACTCTCAACTTTTTCAAAATAGGAATAAATCGCTTTAGACAAAACAACGTCTTAAAGGAGGGAAACGAATGCATACTCGCAGTGGACTTTCGAGCAAGCATTGCCTTTGGTCCGGACATATATATGGGTGCCCCGTTCTTCAAACAGTTCTGCGTTTCTTTCGAACCTTTAGAGGGAATGGCCGCAATTAGGGTTTTCGAAAGCATACCTACTTTTAGCTCCAGGTGAGCAAGAATAGTGCATAGTTCCATTTTTTCACTTCTCAGACAATAACGCGGACGAGCGGCGGGCCTTAACGGCTTTCCGCGCGAGCGGCGGGCTTTGATTTGTGGGCGTGCCTTTCTTGCGGACGAGCTTCGTACCCTCGCTACCGAGCGTGCGAGCGGCGGTCCTTGATTTGACCAGCGGCGGCCCATCCCCTCAAGCGGCTAGGCGGCGTACCATTAACACGTTAAACTAACTTGCCATCATTTCTATGTGCGAGTCATTCTCACTTAGTGTTATTGCGGCGTGAGGGCGGACAACTAGCAGTGGCCAGCAACAATAAGAAGGTAAGTGTGCTCAGATAGTTATGATGAGCATCTGCCGGCCACCCACATGCCCATCCCGAGGACGCGCCTATATGCGCGCGCCACATACCTCTACCAGTTTCTGCGCGATATGAAATTGCACCAGTTATGTTCAGGTATCCGGGACATTTCGGGCCTCAAGTACTTCCAAATGCGAATTCGGTGCCCCCTTTTGTACAATCACTTTTGTTGAACTGAGAAGCCATCTACTCAACAAGGAATTGATTTTTCTGCAAGAAGAAGGTGGAAAAACAAGTTCTTTTTCGTTCCCTTAGGAAACGGAAACTTGCGTTTTTTGAAATATTTTTACACCGCTGGAAAAAGAAAATGATTTCCTATTTCTCTGCTACCAAATACTAGGTCTTTGTTCGAGCAGCAGAAGTTCTGCAATCAATGCGCAATCAAGATTTTATACGGCCGCAGAAAAGCGACCCTGCAAGGTTATGTTTGAAATTTTCAGTTCGAAAGATGTTGGCCATGTTCGTGTATGCATTTTGTTGCACAACGGATCCATTTTTCCATCAAACGGATCCACTTGGCTTCTGGCCCGCAAAATTGGATCCGTGTTTCCACTATTTGCAGAGTCTTAGATGAGTTTGGCAAGTAAATGTGCAAGCCATGGACTTGAGCTCAAAAACGCGATCAAAAGTCTACTAATTTACATAAACGGCGCCAAAAAGACTGGGTTGCGAAAATGGTCAATTTGCCGAGGTTTGACCCGAGCATTTGACAGGATTTTTGCGCAAAGATGTAGCCCACCGTCTTATGGCGACTATCGAAACAATGAAAAACTCAAAACCTATTCAAATTTGCGTTTGTTCACTTGTATGTTCACTGTTCGTTTGTTCACTGGTATTGTGATAAGCTGCAAAATATTAATCAAAAAATCAAAAATCAAAAAAATTACCCTAACAGCAAGCGAGCGGTCTACCTTCTCCAGCAAGCGTAGAGTCGGTACGACTGTTACAGCCTAATTCCCCTTGAACGCTGCAGCACTTGCACACGGATATATCAACTTCTTCACTTCGCTAATACAACAGTTTGACTATTGCACAGCCTTCATTGCTTTGAGAAAATCAGGGAATTTTTCGTTTTCTCAGTTTCTAGTCAAGGAAAAAATAGGCAATCGCACATTTGGATATCAGATATCGATAGTATTGATGTGAGCGAGTGGGAGGTCCGTAGAAATTATTTGGACGAAGATCTGATTTTTTTCGATTTTTTGTGCATTTGGAAATCTTTAGATTTTGAATTCGAACTCTCCGTGGATCGAGCATGGCGCAAAGACATGAGTGCCATCTTGTAGAGCACAGGGGGGTAATCGAGCATGGGGATTCCGAATACAATATTGGTTTTCAGGATTATCGATTACTTTTATCGATTTTATCGATTTTTTTGCAAAGTTTGAGCTACGGGGCTGGGAGTTGGCACAGGGGGGTAATCGAGCATGTGGATTCCGAATACAATGTTGGTTTTCAGGATTATCGATTACTTTTATCGATTTTATCGATTTTTTTGCAAAGTTTGAGCTAGGGGGCTGGGAGTTGGCACAGGGGGTAATCGAGCATGCTGATCATCCCCAAGGGGGGTGATCAGCATGCTCGATTACCCCCCTGTGCCAACTCTCAGCCCTCTAGCTCAAACTTTGCAAAAAAATCGATAAAATCGATAAAAGTAATCGATAATCCCGAAAACCAATATTGTATTCGGAATCCCCATGCTCGATTACCCCCCTGTGCGAACTCCCAGCCCCGTAGCTCAAACTTTGCAAAAAATCGATAAAATCGATAAAAGTAATCGATAATCTTGAAAACCAATATTGTATTCGGAATCCCCATGCTCGATTACCCCCCTGTGCAAAATCCCAGCCTCGCATGTCAAAATTTACAAAAAATCGATAAAATCAATAAAAGTAATCGATAATTCTGAAAACTAATATTGTATTCGGAGTCCCCATGCTCACTTCCCCCCCCTGTGCCAACTCCCAGCCCCCTAGCTCAAACTTTGCAAAAAAATCGATAAAATCGATAAAAGTAATCGATAATCCCGAAAACCAATATTGTATTCGGAGTCCCCATGCTCACTTCCCCCCCCCCTGTGCCAACTCCTAGCCCTGTAGGTGAACTCTGCAAAAAAATCGATAAAAATCGGTAAAATCGACATCGATCGATAACGAAAAGTGGACTGTGACACCCGCCGGGGCCCGAAGTGTATGTGTGCCAAGTTTGGTCCGGATACGGCGGAGCCGGGTGAGCCAGCTAGTATTATATATTATATTATATTATATTATTATATATTATATTAATATATATTATTATATTTATTTATATATATTTATATATTAGGTCATTCCGAAAGTAATTTCGCTTTTTTCAAACGGACACCACATGTGATGGAACAAAGGTTTCTAAGAGATCTTGGAGGCATTCGATGCAGAATTTCGTCCTCTTTCTAACGATTATAAAAATATTGCAGCATAGTCAATGAGCTTTCAGAAAATAATCAAAATCTGCGACCCATGCTTTTTAAGATGGTCAATTTTCACGATTTATTAAAACTTTCATATCAATCCGCAGAAGGAGTTCAAGTAATGGTTCGATAGATTAAACCTTATAGAATACAGACTACTTTTTTCTCTTCCTCGTATCTCGCCGTAATATTTTTTAGATTTTTTGACAGAATTATCGGATTTTGGCAGGTCCACCTCAGCCACAATCGCATCAAACATCATAATTTTTCGGAATTTGAGACTACCAAAATGGTACTAGGAGTTACCATTAATTTTACAAAGCAAGTGAGGGTTTACGGGTTCGAAATATCAAATTTCGAGTTTTTCGGGTACAGCCTGGGGCCCGCTAAAAAATGAGTTATGATGATTTCTCCCCGGAAACTATACGAATCGGAAACAAAAAACATCTATTGGAAAGAGGAGAAAATGCTGCATCGAATAATGCGCGAGCTGCCTTTCTTTTGATGTTCTACGAGGATTTAGCTGCTTAAGTATGGAAATCGGTAGCATCAGTAAAAATTCTGTTAAAATGTATGACAAGCTATGGGAGGGAGAAAAAAGTAGTGCTGTTTCCTATAAGATTTACTCTATCGAATCGTTACTTGAACTCCTTCTGAGGATTGATGTGAAAGTTTTAAAAAATCGTGAAACTTGACCATCTCAAAAAGCATGGGTCGCAGATTTTGGTTATTTTCTGAAAGCTCATTGACTGTTTTGCAACAATTTCATAACCCTTAGAAAGAGAATGAGATGCTGCATCGAATGCTGCCAAGATCTCTTAGAAACCTTTGTTCCATCAATTGTGGCGCTTGTTTGAAAAAAGCGAAATTACTTTCGGAATGACCTAATATATTAATATAATATATTTATAATATATTATATTGACATATATATTTTATATCAGATCCGAAACGGGTGAAAGCGTAAATAGCTACGGATCTGTTATACTTTTCCTATATAGCGCACTGACTAACTCTGTAACAGTGTTGCTGGAAGAGTATTCCACAAGTAACCCTTTTGTGGACCTTCTTTTTCGGATTAATCGATTCCCACATTCGGAAGAGGGCACAAGAATAGGATTAGGACTTATGAAAGAAGTCATGGACAGTAACAGTAACTTCTTTCGCAAAAAAACTGGAGCATATACAAGTACCAGGAATGCTTCTGACATTGCCGGAACATGCTCAATAATCAATTTTGGAAGCGACACATATATATATATATATATGTAGACTTTGAATGATGTGTTTGATTGAATAAATATCTTTTCTCCCGTTGCTTGGCTTGATTTATATCGTTATCATGCCGATGTTTTCTCTAGCACATTGCTTCCTCTGCTTAATTGTTTTGAATTACTATTGCAGTGAAATGTACCGGCCATATATTCTTAGCAGTGTCGCAGCCCCACCAAGAGTCTACGCCGAGCAGAGACCCGCTTTGAGGCAGCTGGCCGTAATCCTGAAACATCTCCTTCTCCTAAATCCTTATACGACTGCGTTCGCAACAATGTTTTATACATGGATCAAGCCGCCAAGTATATACTGTCAAGGATGCGTCAACAAAGATTCAATGAAGCAACTTTTCATGTGAATTCTACCCCTGTAAACTACAAAAGCAAAAAAGGGTTTTTTTTTGTAGGAATTTGTGAGATCCAACGTAGTAATGTGCGCAAAGACGACATATGGAGATCTAAATCGCTTGAATGATCCCAATAACATCAGCTGTGGAACGTTGCTAATAGAATGACGGTATGGCTGAGTTTTTTTGTTCGTTAATATCATTGTAATATCCTGTTTCAGGCTGAGATAGCCAGGGCAATTTCAACAAAGACGGCACGATTTATGGAAAATGCGGAAAGGAATGCTCCAGTTACTAACGTTACTGTTAGTGTGCACAATTGCTCAAAGCTATGGAAGATAGACGCGAATCCCCCGTTTAAGCAGGTTCCTACAAAGATTTCATGACATTTATGAAAACACTAATCTAGGTCAGTCTAGCGCAACTAGCTAGGGATTGGGAGAGAAAAAGAAAAGGGAATGAGTATCAACTACTTTGTTCTTTGTATCGATTTGTGCTGGAAAGAGTAAGTTTCAGGAAGATTTGCAAGGAAGGGTACTTTCTACAAAGTGCATTTAGATCACGGAGCCCCCAGAAAAAAATCCAGGAATTTTCCGTGAGAATGAGCCAAACCGGAGGAAGGAATGGGGCTTTAAAAAGCCTCCCCGAAAAAAATTGAGGACGTGTTGAAAGGTAAAGGGAGTTTATAGGGGCGCGGTTTGACAATATTACCAATATTTAGATTTTGGAGAAGATATGCTAGGCTTCGGGCACGACGAATTAAAACCCTGGATGGATGTCAATCTTGAGAATTCTAAGTGAGCTCTCCACGATCGAAACTTGTTGTGAACTACGAAATAATTCATTAAAGGTTTTACAAAATCTAGCAAAAACGGATGAAGAAAGAGAGAAAATCTTGTATGAATTAATGGAGCAGCAAAAGGACTGGCGGCCACACCTCTTCAGATGCCTGCAAATGGCGCTGTACGTTTAAGAAAATCGGTTTCACCATTCTACATATTGTTTATAAAATTTAGGCGAGATGTGCGGTCTTACAGTTACCACTCGGGGAAATGGATACCTAGCGACGTGAGAACATAACAGCAAATAGACAATCTAGTGATTATTTTATGTGCTTCAGCGACAGAAGCGTGCGGCACCAGGAGATGAAGATGCTTCGGAAGGTGAAAGAAAAAGATTGAGAAGATTCTAGAAGAAGACTTTTTGGTAAACAGCGGATTTTTGGCGCACGTGTAGATGGGTGCTTGCACCTTTGCACCTTTTTTTCCGGTCACCGGTCATGAGAATGTGATCTTGTTGTTTACTTCGTTGATACTTATTTTGTTCCGGTTTATCATCTCGTGCTGTTTCAACTGAATTATGGCAGTCCAACATTCAAGATTTTAAGACACCGCCTACAAATTTCCTCTTCTACTCTAAAACCGCAGCCAATTTTCGAAGAATTGTATTGAAGAGGAAGAAGAAGTGATTTTGGATCTTATATTTTTTTTTACAAAATTGTTCATAGAGAATGCTAGGGATTTATATAAGACTCATTGTCAGTGATGTGAAATTCCAGCTTTGATCTTTGTGATGCTGATCGTAGTAAATAATTTTGTGCAAGTGTATGGTTCTTGAAAATACAGTGGAAGTTTTATTCTGTTTAGCCATATGTCGATAAGTAGAATAATAGAGCACGATTTCTTTTAATTTGAACTGACTCAATGTATTTCTGTCGAATTTGGGCGTCAAATTTTTCTACAAGCTGATTAGATTGTCCTTTTGAAAAAGCTGAAGTCTTACGCGGTTTCATAATAATTATTTCCTTCATAAGTAGGGCTCAAGTCTTGCCTCTTAACATCGGCAAGATTTGAAATATTGAAACCAAAAAAAAATTAGAACATGCGCAATTCTGATAAAGAATAATAGCTGGTTTATAGAGGCGACGCCCAAACCGGAAAAGCACATGGTACCCTTATATGGGAAAAAGGCTGTTGACGTGTCAAAAATAGGAAGTCTAATTAAAATTTTTATGCACAGAAAGAGTATTCAAGTCGAAGTGGTCTTTCTAGACAGTCTATATACTTTCGAAAAAATTAACCCCTGACTGCAGATTTTACCTTGATTTTTTGCTGCGCTCGTCTGGACTCGATTGAAATACGTATTTGGGTGAAAATCAAAATCGAAGTCATTTAGAACCACTCAAATGGGTTTTAGATATTATACGACTTTAATTAATTTGATTCATTGCAAAGTGATGTAGAGATGTCCATTTTGTTTAAAAACACATTTTCTGCTGGGAAGATCAGTGGAAATAGGCTCATCATGATACATCTTATTCGTTTAACTTCACATCAATAATCTGAATAAAAAACCACTTATTTTTCGGCAATTTTCAATAATACTTCTTACAAGTTCATGTTAGTCTTTTGTGAGACGGTGGAATTAACGGAAATAAATAATCAGCAGTTACGGCATCTGGGATTCCTGGTTTTCCTGGGCAGAAACCTCACATATAGCAGGTGCCAATTTTTATTTACCGCGGACTTTATCTTGTCATACAAAAAATTATTGAGTTATAAAGTTAAAAGTGATTACCTGATGCCAAGCTTTTAACACTTCTCACGAACGCATAGTTTCTGCGCATAATTGTATCAGGAAATTACAAGAAATCGAAGTAATAAAAGGGTTCATAGCTCAAAAGTTTACTTAAATGTCGACTAACACGCCAGATGAAAAAAAAACTGATGGAAATGAAGCTTGCAGCCTGCACATATCTTTACACTCGATTAAGGTTTTTTATCGAATAATCTAAGTGACTATGGAACATGAACACTTTTTTTAGAAAAGCCACAGCTGAAAGCGATCTTGACGCATACTGCAAATAGTTTACAATATTTTACGAAATTTTTGCAAGACGAGATAGCAGAAGAGTACCCGACCACCATCTAAGGTTCACGTATGACGGTCTGGAGAAAGGTGGTAGCGTAATGGGAAAGATGTTTGGGTACGAAAGTAAAGTTTGCGATTAATCAATGGGGGAATTATTGCTGCTGACTATAGACAGCTCACAATCGTCGACACAATCACATCTTAATTTTGATTTGATTTATAAGCCCACTATCGAAATTTGAAAAAGGATAACCAGCAGTCATCAATAAAACGACATATCAAACTTTATTACAAATGTAATATAGCAGTTAATATTTAGATGTCTTCTGATAATATTTGCCAATCCCGATTTCATCTCCACTTAGCTGTGATTTTAGCGAGAAAACGCAAGCGGTCCTCTTTCCATTTGGTAGCGTGGTTGAGGTCTTGGAATAGCATCCATAATAGACAGTGCGCGAGGATTTTTTCAGCTGAATAATCGTGTCCTTACTTGGCAAACTCAATATTCGTAAGTGGTGTACTTTGCATTTTGAGGAAGTCAAACAACCGTTTATGTAACAATTTTCTCGAAACAGTTTCTATGATAATATCATAAACTTATGTGTTCGAAATTACATTAGGCTACTGCTCATTCTCAGAATAGTAACTGCGTGCAGGATACTGAATATGCTACCTACCCTGATCAGATATTTTTCACCGAGATGAGCCATGGTGACGGTTACATGAGCTGGCTTAGAGAACCTGAAAATTTTCATTCTTAAAAAACCAATGTTTACACAAGACATACTCAAAACTTGCAGCGATGGTCGTAAAGGAGACATTCTTGGTTATCCACTGCACGAGGTAATCACTTTTAAAGATTTTTAGCACCATAATTGCCGTCTTTGTCAGATCACAACGATATTTCTGAAACAAGAAATTCAAACAAGGAGTAGAAGCTGGAGAAAAAAACCGTAGGTTATTATTTCATCACTTTAATTAAGATAAATGATGTGCTATGCAGTCGACTTGAGCATTCACTTGTTCATTTATCTGCCAATTGAGAATCAAGCAGAGATATTAATTTTGCTTCTGTCCCATGGCACATTAATCGATCATTTTTTGTTCATAATAAGATCCACCCTTGAATCAGAAACTTACCTGATGACTGCGAGTAACCTTCATTTTTCATAGTATATTTGTTAAGCTATCGCAACCTCATTGAATTAGTGTAATTTGCTTTCTCTCTTGTTTTAGAAGGACAAGAAACTGTCTCTTTGTGACTTTCGCTGGAAATACTCGCACGAGAACGGCTGGTATATTCAATTCTTGAGCCCTTCGGAACCTACACATATCCGTAGCTGTCCCAGAATCTCCCGAGGAGGAGGGGGGGGGGGACAAAATATTTTTTCGAATGAAGGTGCATGGCGTCAGTCGCGTGCTCCAAAAAATTTTTCAGATGCATTTCAAGATTTTTGGGGGACATTATCCCTTGAATAGGAAAAGTTTTTCACAAGGCAGATTTCAATTTTTATAAAATTCCTGAAATAATTCAATTATTTACAAAATTAAAAATCACCCGTTCTTTATAACCTGAAATCAGGTTAATAGTGGAACTTTTATTGACTCAACATATCGAATTTTATTATTCACAGCCGATTTTTAGAAATTTTTGTACTGTACAGTAAGAGTCCAAATTTTTGAATAGGCTCAACTTGGCATGATTACCTATTTGGCATGTTAATGACTGTAAAGTGTTTTTTCGTTAAGGGTATTTATTATGAAGTTGTTTGGTGAAGACATGTGACAATCATCAGTCTAATGCTCGTTTCTTTACTTTGCAATTCTTTTCCTGACCTCTTAGATTTCCTCATCTATAATATATTAGGTTGTCCCGAAAGTTTTGTCGGTTTCTTTCATCGCTCACTGAAACCCACAGAACACCAATCAGGGCTCGGCACGAGCTGGCACCAGGGAAATTTCAGAACGAAGTCCCCTTTGAACTTGAAAATTTCGTACGAAGTCCCCTTTGACCTGTTTCGAAGGCCCGTCAATGTTTTTAGACTCTGTAAGAGTTGTAATAGGGTTTTCACGCCAACTGACTTCATTTAACAACTCTTCACTGACTTTCTGAGCTTTTAAAAGATTTATTCATAAGAATCCATGTTCGGCTATTCACAAATATATTTCACAGAACAATACTATGTTGCAAGAAACTCCTCACAAAGCGCGACCTAATTACACAACTGCACTATGGACTGACACTTTGTTTTTGAACCTTTGGTAGCGCCTCAATATCGGCGAAACCGGAAAACTGACAGAATGGAGTAAATGAGCTCTACAACGATGCAGTAATGCAAATTAAAAATCTGAGGAAAATCCCAATTGAGTAGCGCGGGAAGGACACCTGAAAACAACTGTATTATAGAAACGAATTGGTCATCGACTTGGTTCGCTAGACGAAACAAGGCGTAGAGGGATGGCATAGCTGCTGTGACTGCATAAAGTTCGCTAAAATTATCATACTGAGTTTGTCTGTCGACAAGCATGGAAGAAAGTGTTCCGCACTTACGTACGTCGAAACTAAAACTAAAAATAGTACTCCAGGTTGCAGTTCGGCACTTATAATGAACCAATCTGGCTGAAATGGGCAATTATATGATTTCGTTGTTCTTTTTCGCTCTGATTGTTCGCAAAACAAACAAAAAGCACTTTTAAAAACTGCAAGTTCAGAAAAAGTCCCGAAGAATCCGGAATTTGATTACAGCTGCGCATTTCCTCTGCGCCTTGTTTAGTCTAAAGTACCAAGTCTATGACTTGTTGGGTTCTATAATACAGTTCCTTTTCCCCTGTCAAAGCACGACAGATGAATAAAGAACATAAGAACATGAGGAAAATAGAAGCAATAAAGCATAAAAACATAAGAGAACAGATTAAATAACTTACCCCATAGTTGTGTTCGATCCAGGATCCTCATAATCCTTCGATAAGCTCTCGTCAGCATCCAATAAGCTCAATGCGTGCTCTATAGAAGTGTGCAGTGTCGAAAGTGGATGCCTGGAACAAAACAAATAGAAGAATAGAAAGGACAATACAAAAATAGTGACGCAAGAATACAAAAGCGATAAATAATAAGATTGATAAAGTGTCGAAATGAAATCGGCAGAATTCGCGCCGCATTTGCTCAGAGCGCGCTTTGTGATTGGAGCAGATTACTGGACTGCGGAGCAGACCGGAAAAACTTCAGATGGCTATAAAACGCCGAAAAGGAAACATTATGAAATCGTTTTTTCTCTGTATGTAAACTTTTAGGGTGTAGATACAATTGATTTAAAAAAGTATGAAAATTCATGTGTGCAAAGGGTCGGTGCCAGCTCAGCTGGCACCCAGCTGGCACGGTGCCAGCTAATTCAGAAAAAAGTTTGGCACAGCTTCATTTCACATAAGTTTTCATAAATTTTTGGGCCATAGTTTGTGGACCCCAACGCGCATGCACTCACCAAATTTGGTGTCATATGATTGCGTTCCATTTGTAAATAAGGCTTTTGTTTATTTCTGGCAGAATTTGAACTCCCGCGCTCACGCTGCCGGCATGTCGCCGCTGGCATGTCATTGGCATGCTAGCGGCCAAATTTAGACTTAGCATGCCGTCTGCATTTCGGCCGAATATGTCTGGAAGAGCATTTTGCGAGACAGACTTCGTTTGTGTTGCATGTTTTTGCAATCTTTGTGATCTTATGAAGGAGAGTAAGCGAAATTTTTTCCGGGGCTCCGCCCCGGACTCCGGAAAAACGATATCCCCTTTGCTCTCAGCCCCAAAAACGATATCCAGCTTGACCCGGTGCCAGCTGTGCCGAGCCCTGACACCAATTCATGGGCAAGCTAGATACCATCTGATTCAGATTTTTATCCTTTTTCATATGTCTATATTTTCTCTCTGATCTACCCTGTCTTTGCAATGTTATCGCCATGGCTTTTTAAGCAGCTCAGCAGTAACGCCAAATCTTTCCTGAATTATAAAAATTTTTATACTAATGATTTCAGAAAGGGCTGATAACTGTTATGTAGAACTAACCTTTGGCTACATTGTGTTTATTTTAGATTACATGGGCCACGTTTACCAAGTCCGTTATATTAGGTTGTCCGGAATTAATGCCCGTTTTGAATTTCAACAGCAATAAGTCATACACTTCTCACTTCTGAATGGATTGCAAAGTATCGTTCGATAGAGCAAAGCAAGCTCTACAAGATGGCCATCTTGCTTTTGCAACAGCTCTCATCCACCTCGAGTTTCGAGCGAAAACTAAAAAGACTCAGCAGCCCAAAAAATTTTTAAAAATCGTAACTCTGACATAAAAATCCTACAAAAATTCTAACTTGCTCACGTAAACACAATCCACATAAAACATCTATATACGCCTTTGCTGTATTTTTCCTGTGTTAGAAATTAAGAAAACGGAAATTTTACTCCATTTGCCAAAGTGATGCTGTGCCGTCCCCACATAGGTAGTTGTGTACCAGAAGCCTCTAGAAGTACAGACTTAAATTTTCAGCTCTTTACAAGCTTTAGTTCTCGAGAAATACCGAATATAGCTTTCCTTAGTTAGGTGGTCCAAGCGAAAATTCAAATTACTCGAGAACTAAAGCTTGTAGAGGGCTGAAAATTTAAGTCTGTACTTCTAGAGGCTTGTGGTACACAACTACCTACGTGGGGACGGCACAGCATCAATTTGGCAAATGCACGAAAATTTCCGTTTTCTTAATTTCTAACACAGAAAAAAATATGGCAAAGGCATATATAGGTGTTTTATGTGGATTGTGTTTACGTGAGCAATTTAGAATTTTTGTAGGAATTTTATGAACAGAGTTACGATTTTTTTCGATTTTTCGGGCTGCTGAGTCTTTTTAGTTTTTGGCTCGAAACTCGAGGTGGATGAGAGCTGTTGCAAAACAGGATAGCCATTTTGTAGAGCTTGCTTTGCTCTATCGAATGGTACCTTGAATTCTAATCAGGAATGAAAAGTGTATGACTTATTGCGGTTGAAGTTCAAAACGGGCATTAATTTCCGGACAACCTAATAATTAACTATTAGGTCGTTCCGAAAGTAATGTCGCTTTTTTCAAATAGACGACACATTTCATGGAATGTAGATTTTCAAGAGATCCTAGAAGTATTCGATGCAGTATTTCATCCTCTTTCTAATCGTTGTAATTTCATTGCATAATTTTCATTGAGCTTGCGAAAAATTAACAAATTCTGCAACTCATGCTTTTTGCCATGGTCAAGTTCGGCAATTTTTAAAAATTTTTGTACCTATTCTCCGAAATAGTACAGGTGGCAGATAGACAGAGCAAACACTATAGAACATAGAGTAATTTTTTCGTTTCCTTAGCTTGCTTCTCAGAGTTTCTACAATCAATTTCTCAGTGCCATCAAATTCCATATTTAGTCAAGTCAAACCTCACAGAACAACAACCGGCAAGCGACTCGGGTGTCATTCGATGCAGCTTTTTCTCCTCTTTCTAGCGGTTGTTTTTTGTTAACGATTCATCAAGTTTTCCGGGATAAAATCATCATAATTCAGGTTTTCTAGGGCGCCTCCGGCTGTACCCGGAATTTCCGAAAGTTGCTAGTCTGAAGCGGTAAACGCTCATTTGCTTTGTAAAATTAGTGTAAAACCATAATCCATTTTTGTAAGTTTCAAAATCCGACGATTTCTTGGTGTTTGATGCATTTGTGTCTGAGACGAGTCTGCTAAAATTCGGTGTTCCATCAAAAAATCTATACAGAAATTATGACGAGCTCTGAAAAGTAAAAAAAAAAGTTGTGCTGTTTCCCGTAGGGTTTGCTCTATCCATACATAACTTGGACTCCTTCCGGGGGTTGTTATAAAAATTTTAAAAAATTGTGAAACTTGGTCTTCTCAAAAAGCACCGGTCGCAGATTTCGATAGATTTTCGAGAGGTACTGAATTTTGTGCAGTGGTTATATAACCATCAGAAAGAGAATGAAATGCTGCATCAAATGCTACCAGAATCTTTTACACATCTTTCTTCCACGAAATGTGGCGTACGTTTGAAAAAAGCGACTTTACTTTCGGAACGACCTAATATTTGATGAAAACCGCGACTTTTTGATTATATTTACCACGTAAAAGTATCAAAAATTCCAAAAAGCCGCTTTCCAAAGCAAATCAAACTTGGTCATGTTGCATAAATAGATCTTCAATGAGAATCACCTCTCAATTTGTAGAAACTTTGAAAGTTACCATGTATTTGCTGCAGTTGCATGTTTCATGACTTTGTCAAAAATCGAGACCTCCTAAGAAATAATTTTTTTTCAAGGTATAAACAGAAGATTAGGAGAATCTAAAAATGTTGCCTTGTAGTCCGAGAATTGTTCTATCAAAATCATACTTAACCATTTTGAAAACTTTAAAATGAAATTTTGAAAAATTAGCCGATCTTTGACCAGATAAGATTGGCGGATGGAGAATTTCAACAAATATCGAAAAAAGCATGCAATATTGTGGCTCGAGAGTGTATCTATAAGAAAGAGAAGGAAAAGCTGCATCGAATGCATGTTGAGGCTCATTCGAGTGTTTATTGTGCGTGGTTCTATAGTGGTTTGAAAAAACCGACAAAACTTTCGGGACAACCTAATATACAGAGTGTCCCAAAAAGATGTGCACACTGTTTGATCGTGAATAACTCTCTTGCTTTCAAGTCTTTTGCCGAGCTTGAGGTACCATTCTGTAGAGCGAGGATAAACTTAGATTCACAGTATGGAGCGAATCATCAATCACTCTTCGTTACTGTAAAATCACGGTATGAACTTTCAGCGTACAGAGTCACTGTGGAATAAGATCTTTGATGAAATAATTCCAAAAAAATCTAAAAATCTGTGCAGCAAGGTTTTCAGGGGTGTTGATTTCATTACATAACTTTCTACCACTTTTTCGAGCTTTCTTGATGGCGTATTCACATTCTGACAAACACTGGAAAATTAGTTGTTACCCTAAATTTGAAATAACTCATGAAAGAAACAGTGTACTGACGTGCAGTTTTCATATTCCTAATCAGCAACTCCGATTAATCCAGTTTAAGAGTTTCTGGCTTGTTTGGCTTTCTTTCTGAGGGAAAATACCGCTTTCAATGCTTAAAATCCGCCTCAAAATTTTTATCGTATTCCTACAGTAATGAAGAGCTGCTGAGACGTCGCTCCATACTGTAAATCTAAGTTTATCCTCGCTCTACAGAATGGTACCTCAAGCTCTGCAAAAGACATGAAAGCAGAAGAGTTATAATATTAACAATCAAACAGTGTGCACATCTTTTTGGGACACCCTGTATATACCGGGTGTCCCAAAAAAATGTGAACACAAAAAATGTGAACACTGTTTAATTGTTAATAACTCCCTTGTTTTCACGTCTCTCGCCAAGCTTGAGTCACCATTCTATAGAGCGAGGTTTAACTTAGATTTACAGTATGGAGCGAATCGTCGACCGCTCTTCATTACTGTAGCATTACGGTATGGACTTCGACAAGGATTTTAGGCCATTGTAGGCCATATTCTGCCTCGGATCAAAACCAAACAACCCAAAAACTTCTATACTATGGTAATGGAAGACGCCAATTTCGAATATAAAATTTCCATTTTACTGTGATGCTTTTTTCCAAGGTTTATCCTATTTAAACCGTAATATCTGAATTTCTAGCGTTTGTCAGAAAGGTGACTAGGTGACTACACCGTCAAAAAAGCTAAAAACACTCGTAAAAAGTTGTCTAATGGAATCAGCGCGCACGAAAACCCTAGTACACAATTTTTCAGATTTTTTGAACAAATTTTGTCAAATGGCATATTTCACAACAAATCCACATGCTAGAAGTTCATACCGTAATCCTACAGTAACGAACAGCGATCGGTGATTCGCTCCATACTACAAATCTAAGTTGAACCTCGCTCCACAGAATAGTAGCGCCTCAAGCTCGGCGCAAGACGTGAAAACAACGGAGTTATTAACGATCAAACAGTGTTCACATTTTTTGGGACACC